GCACAGGAGGCCGTGACGTGTGACACTTCGCGTCGAACCGTAGCACGTGACACACTCGTCCGCGTCATCTCCTGGGTTCAGTTGTCGTCTTCGTCGTCTTCTTCACTTTCTTCCGTCTGTCATTGGGCTCCCATGGGGCAGTCTTGGAGGTCTGTTGGGCCACGTTGGGCTATCTTGGGGCCCTGTTGGGCCGTTGTGGGGCTCTCTTGAACCGTCATGGGGCCCTCTTCGTCTGGGGGGGGCCCTTGCGGCCGTTGTGGAACCGTTTTTGGGCCGTCTTGGACCGTTGAGGGGTCTAAAGCTATCTTGTGTCGTTTCAGTGGCCATCTTGGGCAATATTGGGACTCTCTTGGGTCCGTCCTGGGCCACCCAGGCTCCCTCATAAGCTGTGGTGAAGTTGTTTTGGGAGTTTTGTTGGGCCATTCTGGAGCCTCCTTGGGCCGCCTTGGGGTCATGTTGGAAGTCTAGCTAACCGAAGACCGACAAGGGTGAAGATGCCCAATCTGTTGAACGCCTCTCTGATTTTGGCCCCTTCGGGCCGGGCCCTACTGGAGGTCATATTGTGGCCCTCACGTTGGGGGCCAACTTGGGCCGCCTTGGGGCCATCTTGGGTTGTTTTGGAGGCATTTGGGGCCATTTTGGCGGCTGCTCTTTTTGCAAGGGATTGTGGCCTCGGGAGTGCGGAGCAGTCGCTTTTGTGCGAGGGGTCTTTGCCTCGGGAGCGCGGACCTACATTTCTTTACAGAGGAGGGGGGGCGATGCATGCAGATGAGTGTGACCGGGAGGGGGGGGGGCATTAGAACATTCCAGACACCCTACCAGACAGCATTTGGCATCTACCACTCCTCAGAGTGCGAGAGGGAACGATGGCGGGCACCACGCATTTATTACGGGCTATGGCACAGTCACGTGGGCACGATAACACACGCGCCTTGACTGCATGCAGGCATTTGTATGGCAGATGCACCTGGACAAGAGTGCCCATGACGAGAACACAAGAAGCTTCTGCCGTTTTCCACGCGCAGTGTCCATGTGTCAATGGAGATGTGCTAACTGACCGGGGGGAGGGCGCTGCAGTGGCTTGTGCATGCTGGCGATGATCCATGGCGCGATGCCCCTCCATGATGGTTCGCGGCTGCCCATGCGTTGCCAAGGGGGTGGCACCTGCATTGGTTTTCCCACATCCCTCGTGGGGTCACTGTTTCCTTTGGATTCTGCACGAACGAGATGGGCACGGAAAGAATGGGTACAATGCCCAACAGCAATTCTTGTTCATTTTGAGCAGGACTCGCTGTCCGCGCCGCCGCGGCCTGTGTCCATTCGTCGAGACAGAAGGCCGCCTGCCCAACAGCGGCCGCTGTTGGTTTGGGACAACATTTGTTGTTGGGCATTGTACCCATTCTTTCCGTAATGGAGGATGACGATTAATAAATGACCGGGGGTCGTGTTCACGCGGCGGCGCCCGGGATGACGATTAGAAAAAACCAGCCGCGGGCTGGAACACTATTTTTTTTATCGTTTTCCTCCAGTCAGAAAATTCGGCAGAACTAGCAAGAAAGTTTTTTTTTATCGTTCCCCTTCATTTTGTTATCAATCCTCATCCCGCATTACTGGCCGCTCCCCTGAGATCCGACGTGGCGAAAAAACTGCAGCGCCGTAAACATCCGCGCCCGGAGCCCCCGACCCCACCTTCCTGCATCCTCTGTCGAGCCGGATCGATCTGTGAGGGCCCCGGGACCCGAAAAAAGGCAAAAAAAACGCCCGGCTCGAGAAGAGTGAGTCGCCATTGGGCGCCGCGTAATGGGGGGGTCATAACTGGGGGGGCGGCGAGGGTGGTCCGAAAAGGTACCCAAACGGTACCTAAACGAGCCCACCTGGGGCTCTGGAGGGGCCCGAAAGGGGCACGAAAGGGGACCTTTTTTGACCCCCCCATTTGTGACCCCCCCATTAAGCCACGCCCAACGCCAGGATCTCAGGGTCAGAGCAGAGGGGGGCGCTCGGGGACACGCCTCCCGCGGGAGGCTGCTCGCACGCAGCCCCTCCCCGAGGGTCGACGCCGCCCCCATCCGCGTGTGCTTTTCCCGAGGTGGGCCTCTTATACGTTGCACATATTCGGGGGGCCTCGCCGGTCCCCTAAGATTGGTACCGTTTCCTGTGCTCGACGCGGGCTCGATGCGGGCTCGACGCAGGTTTGGCGTGGATTCGACGCGGACTCGACACGGATTCGACGCGGATCGGGCCGCGACGGGACGGACAGGGTGCCACGAGGATGCTCCCCTGAGCAGTCGAGACCCAGACGCTGTCGCGTCGGGGGTGCAATCACAAAGTCAACAGCCTCTACAGATTTGACACAGGAGTGTGTGTTGGCATGCAGTGGAGTGTCCGCGGAGGTCCTAAATAGCGCCATTTGAGAAAGCGTTTTGAGAATGGCTGCGTGTAGTCTAGCACCTGAACGCACTTTGGATTGTTAAATGCAAAGGAAGGACAACGCTCGTGTCGGGGAGCAAAAAACGACGGTTGGTTTACTTGCCGTTTTCGGCGTTCCCGGGCCCTCGTCGGGCCCCAGGGGTGTCCAAAAATTGAGCGGGGTGAAGCATTGGGCAAAGTGTCGGGACTTCTGGGGACAGTGTATTGAAAAAAAAGATATAGGCGTCCGTAGCCCCGCGGATCAAGCATTGGGGCTCCAGGCGAGGCACGTTGCTCGCTTCTGCCGTCGCCACGGGTCTGTATGGCGACGTCGGGAGCCCCTGTGAAAATCAAGCTGGAATTCTTTTATGATTGCCTCTCGCCGTTCAGCTACCTCGCCTTCGTCGTTCTGACGCGCTACAAGACTGTCTGGAAGCATGTCGACGTAGAGCTCAAGCCCTTTCTCCTGGGCGGCGTCATGGCCAGCACGGGAAACCTGCCACCGATGGCGCGACCTTGGGCCTCATCTACTGTCACGGAAGGAGCCCAGCACCTGCAGCGCAACAAGGACTTCTTCAATGTGCCCAACATGCTCAATTCACCTGCGAATTTCTTCGGCCCGAAAGGTCCTTCGGATAAAAGTGGCCTGTCGATGGATTTTCGGTACCAGCGCACTTTGACTGCTATCCTCGAAGAAGACAAGCGGAATAAACAGCAATGTTCGGAGGTCCGCGCGGATTTCTTGGATCTGCGCTGGCCCTGCTGGCGGCGCCTCCGGCGCCGCCCCTGGCGCTCCGCGCACCAGGGAGGGGGGTTAGGCGCCGACCCAAGAACTCCGCGCCGACCTCCGATCGTTTATGCTTATGCAGTTTTTCGTCTTCCATATCCGCCGGCTGCATCCAGAGTCGCTGCAAGAAGCAACGCGGCTTGTGTTCGAACATATTTGGGTCAGCAAGGATGCCCGTGATGAGAAAGGCCGCGTTGCCATGAGCGAGGCCGTGCTTGTGAATATCTGCGAGCAGGCCGGGCTATCGCCTGCGGAGGCTGAGGGCTGCGTTCGAGCCTCGAATGATCCTGAGACCAAGGAGCTGCTGAAGGCTTCAGTCAGCGATGCGGTTAGCCGTGGTGCTTACGGTGCCCCGACAATGATCGTCAGCGGCGTTTCTGGCCGCGGCGAGATGGTATTTTTTGGAAGCGACCGCTTTGAGCAGTTGGCTTTCGTATGTGATTTGCCATGGTATGGACCCGATCCATTACGTCCAACGACAGTTGCCAAGCTCTGATCCAGCTGAGCTCTCAGCCAGCAGTCTTTCTAGGTTCACGAATGCGCTGGTAATACTTGCTCTCGGTGAGATGCTTCTGGTATAGACGAGAAAATAAGTCTCGGACGCTACAGCTTAGTTGCATGGTTGTACCCGTCGCAGTACCTTGCGTGCCTCCTCAGCGCCAGCTATTTCAGGCTTGTCTGCATGATGTAGTATCCAGTATGGGTGGTCGTCTAGGTATTCTGCATGTGTAGCGTTGTAGCGATCAGCGCTGTGGCACCAATCAAATCAGTGATCCCAGCTTATTCTGTGTTCATTGGCGCGTGTTTTGCACCTCATCGGTTCATGTGGACATGCCAGACAGTGGCCCTGTCGAAGTATCGAGGGCGTGGGCGGCCCATGACTGTCCGCTCCTTGATAGTCCGGCGGAGCTGTGCGCGGCGTTTAGATTCGTGACGCGCCGCGTGCTCCAGACAGCCCTGTCGGTGTCGCCTTGAGGGCTTTCGGCGAGAGCGTCATCGGGGCCTCTTGGACGTGTCCGGGCCGTGCCTCTGATCCAGCGGAGGCGCTCTCGAGGACGGAGTGCCCAAGGTGCAGACAGTGGTGCACCCCAGGGTGGTCTCAGGCCCACTCCGCTCGTGCCCGCTGGAGAGTGGTGCGCCCCGTGCCCGCAGTGGCGCGCGCGCGTCCCAGGCACGATCCGGGTGCACTCCTCGCGTGCACGCCCAAGGATGATGCGGCCCAGGTCCAGGCAACGGTGCGCCTCAGGATCGCTCCAGAGGTGCATTTTGCATGCTGTGCGCGCCCGCTCAGAAGAGTGCGCCCCAAGACCCATGGTGCACTCCAGTCGTCGTTGTCGTCGTCGTCGTCGTCGTCGTCGGCGTCGTCGTCGTCGTCCGTCGTCCGTCGTCCGTCGTCACGTCCCATGTCCGGGCGCTGCATAGGATTCCCACCGCTCCAGGCCCCCAGGTCCAGGGTGCGTGTCGCGGGGCTCGGGCTCCTCGCCGTTCCGCGGCAGGCCCCGTGTTTCGAAATGCATGGCTGGTTCGTGCGACGTGCGATTCTCGCTTCCCCGGGTCTCCCGGACTCGGAAATTGCGGCACGGGCACAAGTGTCTCACCCATCCAGGCCGTGCAGGTGCGTGATAGTGGCGCATGATTCTCGCACCGTTCTGGTCTCCTGAACTGTCCAGATCATACGACGGAGGTGGGCTTCTGATCCGATCCGCACTGGAACGTCAGCATACTCCTAGTACGGTGCGGTGATGTGATAATTCTGGAGCCATCTGCTTCACAAAACTGCGGCCTATTCCCATCTTTTCTCGCCCCTCTTCCTCACACTCCCACTGCCAGATCCTCACCCCCCCCCATCCCTCCTGCTTCTGTTTCGGCCCTCCTTCTCTTCCTCCTCCTGGTCTGCCACCACCCTCCCACCATTTCTACTGCTCGTCATCTTTGCGGTTAACCCCCAGCCGCTCGTTGCCGTGCTCTCCAGCTCAGCTACGGTTCGTGTCTTGGCGATCCAAGCGTGCACTCCCCGCGTTGCTGCCTGCCTGAGTTGTCAGAAGCAGTACCAGCTCATTGCGACCGTCGGCCACCCTGCCTTCCCTGTGAGGACAATCCTGGAGGCCTCGCGCGGCGCGCAATAGTTGTACCATCTGGTCCACACGTCTACTCCGTAAGATATGGGTCGACGTTTGCGCGGCGATGAACTCCGACGTGAGTCCGACGCGACTCCGACGTGAACCCGACGTATATTCGACGCGATCCGACGGGAACCCGACGTGGGTTCGACGCACACTGGCTCTCGAGCTGCCGCGCGAGGCCTCCCGGAGACTTCTCGGCACCTTCTCCTGCTCCTCCCCCTCCGCCGGCCGAGGATGCTGCGGAAGAGCACCACGGGCACCACGGGGCGCAACTGGCAGGTCCGGCTGGACAAGGGCTGGAGCAACATCCCCGTGGACGCGAGCCGGGCTGCGCCTCTTCGGCCCAGCGGGAGGAGGGGAGGAGGAGCAGCTCAGGTTTGCCGACGCCTTCTGACGAGCGCGTCCCGGATTTGGGCGGTCCCGCTGCAAGTTGCAGCGGGAGCCCGCGAGAGATTTCGGGCTGGGACTCGTCAGTTGCATGATGGACCCGTCCGGCCAACCCAAGACCCCCGAACCCGAGTCTTACGTCATCGAGAACAAACTTATTCGCAACCCTAATAACACGATGAGGAGAAGTGGCCTCACTTCGGTAGGGGTAATAAATCTGGGCAGCTTGGTCTGATACGTCTGCAGTCAAGAACCCAATATCCCTAACGTTCTTGGCCCTCCTAACTTAGGCCCCCTCCCAAAGGATTACGGTCACTTCTTTTATGCGGATCCCCGAGAAGGATAGCTTGCATTACCATACGGTAGGCTCATGCGGCGTTGGCGCGCTGGCGAGTTCAGGGTCTGAATTCCGCGACGCGGAAGCACCGAGGGACACTGTGGCGCCACTGGGTTCGACGGGATTCAGCTTCGAACGATCGGCGCCGCGATCGGTTCAGGGTTGAACGATCGACGCGGTGTCAACATCCTTTGCGCGCGCCGACGCCCTACGAACCTACCGTAGCACCGCATCCTTATCTCTTCGCCCCGCCCACCGCAGACATTCCTGGCCTCGCGCCGCTCACACTGGCCGAAGTCGTGCGTCCAAGGTCCCTGCATCCTTACCGCGCATCCTCACCAGATGCGTTCACTGTGCACGCCGATCGCTGAAAGCATGCTGGAGGTCCGCGCGGAGTTCCTGGAGCGGCGCTGGGGCCCCCCGGCGGCGCGCCCCGGGCTGGCGCGCTCCGCGCCCCAGGGGGGGGGGCCCAGCGCCGATCCAGGACAAATCCGCGCGAAGACCTCGTAGAAGTTACCTTGATTCAGGAGGGGGAAACACACACAGGCACAAAGAATCGTCGATGCCCAAGAGAAGATGGGAACCCATGGGAAATGGCGGGGGGGAGGCGAGCATCCAGAAACTATTTGGAAATTCGTGGAATCTTGGGTTTTTTGTATTTATATATATATATTATATATATATATATTTATATATATATATATATATATGTGTGTGTATGTGTCTCTGGGCCCTTTCACTGATGTTTTTTCAGCTCCTCAGGAAAAACTGTTCTGTCGACTTGCGCCAAGGCAGGTCCAGGGCCCCTTCTTCCAGCGGTCGCGGGTCGACGAGCGGCCGCACGCGCGGCCGCTCCAGCTTGGGGGCGCCCTCCGGCCTGAGAGCAACCTCACCCCATCTCCGGCTTGCGATCGACGAGTTGCCTGACCCCTTCCAGCCTCGATCTTAGGAGGCCACACGCGAACCCTGCCCCTACCCCCCACGATTTCTGAGGGGGAGAGGGTGGGGCTCACTTCGCTCGGGAGCTCCCGAACGGAGTGGACCCCACCCTCTCCCTCCGAAACCGTGGGGTGGGGGGGGGGGGGGGGGGGGGGTAGGGTTCGCATGTGGCCCCCTAGATTTGGTGCTGCCGATGCCACGGCGGTCTCCCTGCGGGCGATGCCGCGGCCGAAGCGCCATGGCCGGCAGAGCAGCGCCAGCGCGTCGTGCCCGGCCCCCCCGAGAGGGGTGGCCGCGGCGTGGCGGCGGCAGGGCTCCCACGCCGCGCGGGCCCCCCTCCCCCATGCCGGACTCGTCGGCGCGCACCGGCCCTCTGCCGTGAGCGACGGTGTGATCTCTGAGGGCACCCCGCTGCTCGCAGGAGGCACGGAGATGTGCACGGTCAGCCCGCACAGCACGGACGGGCAAGCTTCCCAGGGGTGCCCCCGTGCATCCTTGCCCCGTTCGGCCCATCCTTCCTCAGCGACGTTCGCTGGCCAGCCTCTTTCGAGAAAAGTCCACGTGGGCCTCCAGGGCCCTTGCACCCCTGGCGCGCATCCTCATGGTGCGGATGGGCTGAATACTAGGTGTGCATGTGGAGCTGAGACGGACGAGTGCGAGGCCAGTGGGAGTACGGAGTAGACAGAGTCAGATGAATCTTTAGGCTTACGCCACACCGCCGACCCCTTGTTTTTTTTGGAGGCAATCTTGGACGTTTTGGGGGCGTCATGGCCCGACTTTATCCCCCGCATTCCTATCGTCGTCGTCTTTGCTCCTCCTCCCAGTAGTCGGCCCATCCCGCCACCGTGCCTGAGTTGTGGTTCGGAGGCCTCTCAGATTCAGGAGAAAGTCCAGATTCGGTGCGCGAAGTGCAAGAATTTCTTGAAGACGGAGGCGGAAGTGGCGGCGAACCAGCACGACTCGAAAGATGCGGGGGAGAGGCTTTGCAGGGCGTGCGCCCGCAACGAGAAGGGTGGGCGGAACGAGAAGGCGGACGCAGAGAATCGCAAGCGGAAAGCAGAGGCGGACGCGAAGCCGCTGACGCGCGCGGCGTGCAAAGGCGCGTTCTCGGACACGAAACATTTGAAGCAGAAGCAAGTGGAACATCATCGAGCGGCGAAAGGAGCTAAACTGGTGTGCAGAAGCTGCGAGGAACTCGGGTTCACAGCGCGCAGTTGCCAGGCTTATCAGTGCAGCGGCGCGTGCAAGAGAGGACTGCCAAAGTCGGCGTTCCCCGACCCTCACAATGTCCCGCGCGACGCAAAGAAGGGCACCCTAAAGTGCAAAACGTGCAAATGATGCCCAATCGGTTGCGCGTACTGGGCAGAAAGGGAGGACGAGAAGAGGAGGATGGGGGGTGAGGCGGAAAATGGGGGGGAGAAGCATCGGTGAGGATGAGCTGAAGCGGGGCAGGAAGAGGAGGAGGGGAACGAGGAGGAAATGTAGGAGGAGGAGGAGGAGGAGGAACAGGAGGAGGACGGGGACACTGAGATAAGGCTCCGGGTTATGGGGCTGGGCGCGACTCGAAAAACAGGTGTGTTCAGGGATGTTCGTTGGGATCTTGCGGGGGGCTTCTTGCGGGCCTCTTGGAGCAGTTTCGAAGGCTCTTGGGGGCCGTTTTGGGACCTCTTTGTGGCTTCTTGGGCGCCTCTTGGAACGTCTTGGGGGCCTCTTGGGGGGTTCTTGGGGCCTCTTTGGGGCCTCTGGGGGCCTCCTGGGGGCCTCTTGGGACGTAAGGCTGGGTTTTCCGGTGCGTGGTCTCTCTCTGGAGCCCCTCTTGGGCCCGTCTCCGGTAGGTTTTTGGGCCGTCTTGGGCGGCTCTTGGGCCGTCTGGGGGCTCTCTTGGGCCGCCTTGGGCGGCTCTTGGGCCGTCTGGGGGCTCTCTTGGGCCGTCTTGGGGGCGTCGAGGAGGCCTCTTGTGCCGTCTTGGAGCAGTCTTGGGAGCTTCTTGGGCTGTCTTGGAGCGTCGGAAGGCCGAAAAGGCGAAAATGACGAAAACATCGAAAAACAAACCAATGAAAATCAACGATTTTGGCCTCTTGGGGCGCTCCTCGGGGGCCTCTTGGAGGTCTCTTGGGGCGTCTTGGAGGTCTCTTCGGGCGTCTTGGAGCCCTCGCGGGGCGTCTTGGAAGCCTCTTGGGGCCTCTTGGGCGCTTCTTAGGGCGTCTAGGCGGTCTCTTGGGGCGTTTGGGGGCCTCTTGGAACGTCTGGGAGGCCTCTTGGGGCCTTTTTGGCCCGTATTTGGGCTTTTTTGGGCCCGGAAGGGCGTCGTGAGTCGCTCGTGGTGGGCACCCCCCCCCCTCCAAATCGACCGGACCGGGTTCCCCGGGGAGGGGTTTGGGGAGGGGGAAGCATCTCACACGCCGATGACCCAGGGGGTCGGCGGATTGCTTCAAGGCGTGAGCACGTGCCGTGTCCCTCGTCCCCTTCTCTTCTGTGTTTGTTTTTCAGCGGCGTGGTGGCCTCAGAGACTTCACAGGCCACAGGGTGCTACTTCTCCGCGTAGCGATGGGGCGGGATGCATGAAGTGAGGGCTAATGCGGGCAAGGCCGCTGGTGGATGTAGCATATGAGAAAACAGCGCAAGCGCACTCATTTGACGTGCGCTTTCAGGTCAGGACTTCTCCAACGAAGACCGCCCAGCTTGCGTCCTCGCGTGCGTATGCTGGGGGCGTCGATCAAGCAACCTTTCTCGAGAGGTGGCGCCCCCATCGGACACTCCTTGTTGGTTCTTCGGCGCAGAGATTGCATCTCCACGGCACTGCTTGATTCCCGGGACCACTGGTACTCTGGCATTGCGAAGCGCTGGGCTCCCTGTCCGAAGATCGTGTGCCAGACGCCTACGCTCAATGGGCCACCACTCCAGCCGTGTCATCCTCCACCTGCGCTCGCGTCCGATCTCGATCCGGATGTCCGCCCCCCCATGCACACTTTGCGGTCGTCAGGAGATAAAAATTATCCCGGCAAAGCAACTTAACAGCGATGTGTAGGAGCATATCTGGAAAGATTGCCTGTGGTATTCATGTAAGAGTGCTGTTGTAGAATTCTGGTGTTCTCGCAGCCGCATTCGGATTCGCAGTGGCAGTCGCAGTGGCAACATCAGCGGCAGTCGCAATGGCACTGCCAGTAGTTGCAGTAGCAATAGCTACACTAGCAGCAGCAACAGCAGCAGCAGCAGTAGTAGTAACACTAGTAGTAACAGTAGAAGTAGTAGTGATGGTACAAATGGTGACAGTGAAGTAGTAGTTGTAGTGTGTGGAGTGAACGTGTAGGAGTGATGGGAGCAGCGGTAGTAGCAGTAGAAACACTACTTTCGATAACGGCATATCCAAATGAGATCTTCGTATAAATGCACTGAGGTCTAAACAAGACACTGCTATCAACGGATGTAGGTCCAAACGAGACACTGCTATCAACGGGTTGAGCCTCAGACGAGACACTTGCATCAATGAGTGTAGCTCCAAAACAGGCACTCCCATGAATGGATTTAGTGCGATGTCGTAGTAGTAGTAGTAGTAGTAGTAGTAGTAGTAGTAGTAGTAGTAGTAGTAGTAGTAGTAGTAGTAGTAGTAGTAGTAGTAGTAGTAGTAGTAGTAGTAGTAGTAGTAGTAGTAGTAGTAGTAGTAGTAGTAGTAGTAGTAGTAGTAGTAGTAGTAGTAGTAGTAGTAGTAGTAGTAGTAGTAGTAGTAGTAGTAGTAGTAGTAGTAGTAGTAGTAGTAGTAGTAGTAGTAGTAGTAGTAGTAGTAGTAGTAGTAGTAGTAGTAGTAGGTAGTAGGTAGTAGTAGTAGTAGTAGGTAGTAGTAGTAGTAGTAGTAGTAGTAGTAGTAGTAGTAGTAGTAGTAGTAGTAGTAGTAGTAGTAGTAGTAGTAGTAGTAGTAGTAGTAGTAGTAGTAGTAGGAGTAGTAGGAGTAGTAGGAGTAGTAGTAGGAGTAGTGGTAGTAGTAGGAGTAGTAGTAGTAGTAGTAGTAGTAATAGTAGTAGTAGTAGTAGTAGTAGTAGTAGTAGTAGTAGTAGTAGTAGTAGTAGTAGTAGTAGTAGTAGTAGTATGGGCACGGACCCGTAAGAACTGAGTCTCCAGCGGGGTGCTCGGCGAAGCCATTGAAGATGATGATGATGTTATGATTGAAAAGACACTGCCGACCGCCGTAGCATCGACGCGTCTAGAAAAGCAACTGCAGGGTGAGAAGCACCCCAGGCAAAAAGTGATTCAGTTGCAGCGGCGAGTGAAGCCGCCGTGGAAGCTCGTCGACAGCCGCGGCACGACCTTCGGCACTGATTCCTGCACCCGCTGGATCACGTTATTCTTGTGCTGAAATCAAAACTTGGTGGCGGTACTCACAAGAGCAATGGCAGGCTGAGAAGCGCTGCGGGCCCAAGTGAGTAATCCCGCACAAGCAGTTACAACAGCAACTGAGGGCTGAGAAGCACCGCGGGCGAATGCGAGTCAGCGGGGATTGTGAAGTGAGAGACTTGAGGCAAACATCGCTGGCTGACTGCAAGACGAATCCGAATTCGCCAAGCAAGCAGCGAAAAAGCCTAAGGCACGCGAGGTGCAGCAAGCTGAGAAGCGTCGCTGGCAAGACAGCAGCATCTCATGTCAAGCTTTCTCCTGACGGGTGGCTTTCGAGGATTCTGCACTTCTTGGCTGAGTCGGGTGTCGTACTCCACGCATTCATCCGCTTGTGCTCACCAGATTGCTGAAGCTCTGTGCGCATGCCCAGTGTCCTCAGTTCCTTGATGAAGTACTGCGCCTCTGTCACTGCGCCCTCGTCGATGTGGGTTACGTTGCGCACCGTGATAGCATCTTGTGAACAGCCTGTAATGAGCAACAGGCAGACTCTGTGCTTTGCTCTGTTGGGCGGGTCCATTTTGAAAGAGAGCAAGTTGTCTACGGAGCAATAGCCGTGAATGGTCACCGCGTGTGAATTCTCATCGTCAGAGGCGTCCGTCACACCTGGTGTAGACACGAGGAAGCCACCCGCCGTGGACACGCATCGCGACTTCTGTGTGGTGCGAACAAGAGCCAATGCCAAGTGACAGTTCCGGGCAAGCTGAGAAGCGTTACCTTCGCCACTCGCCGGGGGATACTCCACGCGCATGCTGTAGAAGGGGCAAGGACGTATCTCAGAGAGGTGTGCTGCGAGCATGGCATCCTGGCTCTCGCGGCACTGCTTCAGGATCTCCAAGACGATATTGTAAGAGGTATTGGGAGCGCGCGCTATCTGGAGCGGGGATGCTGCAACCACAGTCGTGTTGACAAAAGTGCGCTCAAGCGTGTCATCGTCTGATCCCGCAGCCACATTGCGCACGCGTCGTATTATGCGACAAGTGCCCAAAGGAGGGAAGGAGATAGCTCTCTCATCGTGGACCTTCTGGAACTCGGCCATGGCATCAATGCCACTCAACGCGAAGGCTGCCGCTTGGGAGACGGCAACTTTGCAAGAGCCATTGAAATCGCGGGCAGTAGTGGTGAATAATACGCGCTGACCTTTGCTCTCGACCACAGAGTCGCCGGGCTCCGGCTCCTCAAGCCTCATCCCGTTCACCTGCAACAAGTGCGGCAAGGTTGCGGTCGGGTCTTCCGACGCCATCGCCAGAAGGGCACAGCAGGACAAGAGCGCCTCCCCGGTGAGAACTTGTGAAGCGTGGTCTGGGTCTCATGTGACCTCATGGGCGGTTGTCAGCTTCTCCCGGTCCTGCGCGAAGTGCTCTTGCGCCGCCAGGTCTTTGAGCACCGCCGCCAGACCGAGAACTACCAGCATGTCCTGGCACGCGGCCGAGGTCTCGCACTTGCTGCGTGAGCTCCTCGGTCTTCTGCTTCCGCTTGAACTCCTCGGTCTCCGTCTGCTGATCAGAACAGCCCAGGGCCCGCAGTTCATCCAAAACGTCTTTGGGGATGCGGTCGCGATGGTCCGAGAAACGTTTGGCCAACTTGTTTTCGGCCCGTTCTTTTTCGGACGTTATTTTATTTCGCTTCGGTATCCAGCCGAACTGCTTCACGTGCTCGACGAGCGTTTGCAGAGGACCGCTCAATGCAGCACGCTGGAGCAGCGCTGTTCACTGCCAGAGTCTGAGAAGCACCGCTGTTCAATGCAGCAGGCTCAGGAGCACCGCCGCCAGGCCGAGAACTACCAGCATGTCCTGGCATTAAGGTGTGCAGTAGGCGCTGCGCAGTTCCTTTGAAAGGGAATCTTCGAAAGCAGGGCTGTAGCCAAGAAGGCTACGGGGAGGCTGATGAAGGTGAGTCTGTGACGCTGCGAGACCACAGATGACGATCTTGAGAGCGCTGCTTCGAGGAGGGAAAGAAAGAAGGATAGAGAGAGAGAGAGAGAGAGAGATGGGATCGAGAGCTCCCGGAGTGGGGGGGTGCCCATCCGAGGGAACGGTGCCCCCCCCCCCTCCTCAGTACTGGCGACGAGGATCAAGCTGTTTAGGGAAAGAAGAAGACCCCACCTCCCCCTATCCTCCCCCGCGGCCTGAGTGGACCACCCAGGCCTGCGGAGGACGTCATAAAGGGTCGGGTACCCAGTACAGAAATGAAGGGAGAAAGGGGAGGGAGGAAAGAGCACGGAGCCTCCCTCGTCCTGCTCCTCCTGCTCCTCCTGCTCCTCCTGCTCCTCCTACTACTGCTACTACAAGTATTAGATTATGGCGGAAACGCCCAGTGCACGACGACGCCTGGGTCCGCCGTCTTGCCCTGCACGATGACGAACAGAACAAACCGGCAATCGGGTGGCGAGAGATATGACGGGGACATCCAACAAGCAAAATGTGGCCCGAAGAACACGAAGTGGCCTACAGTTGGCTCCGGGCATTCAAAAAGTATCGCGGGAATGGAGTTCTCGGAAATCGAAGAGCACGAAGTGGCCTACAGTTGGCTCCGAGCATTAAAAATGTTGCCCGGGAATGGAGTTCTGGGAAGTCGAAGAGCACGAAGTGGCCTACAGTTGGTTCCGGGCATCCAAAATGTCGCCCGGGAATTAAGATCTGGGAAGTCGAAGAGCACGAAGTGGCCTACAGTTGGCTCCGAGCATCCAAAATGTGGCCCGGGAACGGAATTCTGGGAAGTCGAAGAGCACGAAGTGGCCTACAGTTGGCTCCGATCATCCAAAATGTGGCCCGGGAATGGAGTTCTGGGGAGTCGTAAAGCACTAAGTGGCCTACAGTTGGCTTCGGGCATTCAAAATGTGGCCCGGGATTGGAGTTCTGGGAGGTCGAAGAGCACGACGTGCGTGACTGTTTGCTTAAAACGAGCCCTGCCCTGAGCCCGGCCCTCGCTGTCCGGATGCCGCCCAGACTTCCCTTCTGAGTCATCAGATGCTCTCTTTTGACACCATTAGAAACCTATCAGTCTTCGCTGTTAGGTAAAAAACATACAGACACAAGTAATCGTCGATCCCATAGAAAATGTGGGAAAATATAGGCAGTGGGGTGGAAGACAGAAACCCAGAAAATATTGGAAAATATGGTGAATATTTTTATTTGTGTATTTATTTGAGTGTCCTGGGGCCCCTTCAGGTCGGCAGGGGGTGACGGATGACCACAGACATTGTTTGGCAAGTCGGTTTTTGTGTAGTCGTCGTCCCAGCGCGCCGCCGAGGACGTGAACCAAAAGCTCCTGCATGCGAAGACAGAAGGCGTTACGAAGGTGGAGGTGTCTCCGTTTCCATGCATGCAATCAGAATTTGTGCGGAGAACGTTGAACCTTTTCTCCGCCCGGGATCAGTGTCAACGCGCATACGTGGCATGTGCAGTATCCATTGATTTCGCAATAAGCCCTGTCGTAAACCAAGGCGTGCAATATAAAAGGAGTCGACTCTGCCGTCGTGGAGCAGTATGCGGCTGGCCCATTAGATTCGGGATTGGTTGCTCCAAGTGGTGTGGCCAATTCGACTCGTTTCTCAGTTCCAGTGTTTGACGTAGCCCGTGGCCCCACCACACTCCACCCAGAAGTCGCCGCATGCATTTCGTGCGAATGCATGTGAAAGGGGGACGAGAAGAAAGCGAAGAAGATAAGGAGGGGAGGGCGAGTAGGATCACGGTAATGGTACGTTTGGTATGCCCACGTGTTTGCGTAGCATGTGTGCGTGTCTGCTTGCTTGCCTAGATGTGCGTGCGTGCGTAGTGCTAGTCGGGCAGTGGTTGGTTTCATGCGTGTGCTTGCGTAGTCATTTGCTAATGGCTGTGCCTCTCATTTTCCCATTATGCTGCGTGCCTTCTGTGGCAGCGAGCGCCACGTACGTGACCAGCATCGGAATTCAATCCTGACGAGACGCGTTTTGGTATGACGGGAGGTGTTCTTGGGTATGTGTTCAATTGTCCCCACCTGGATCTTTCTCTCTGTCTCTCTTATATTAATATTCATGTCGATTCATACACATATACATGTCTTCGGCGCGCTACTACATGGAGCAATCCCAGTGAGCCTCTGCAGCCCCATTCCGAGCAGTACACACGGCAATTCTGTTTACATCTGTGCAAGAGCGCCCTTGACCCAGGTCATGATTGGCGATTTCAAGTACACCTTCGACCTGGCGTGGAGCTCATGGGCTGTCCTACTGCCGGCCGCCGATCGCCGACGAAACGGACCGCGAACCTGCCTCGAGCGCACATCGTTCGACGCACCGCGGACACCGCCTCCTTCCCCCATTTGTCCTGTCCTCTCCTCCCTCCATTCTCTGCCATCTCCCCGACCCCCCCCACCCACCCCACAATCCCTGTCTCTCCTCCCTCTCGCCCTCCTCCTCCCCTTCTGTCTCTGGAAGTTAGCTTGGGTCGGCCTCGGCGGCGCCACCGTAAAGTCGGTGGACAGGCGTCCGAAACGCGGCGTCATTGGGAATGCATGCGTTCGCTTATGATGCTCCAACCTACTTTGGCTTTGACCACCAGAAAGAATTTCGAGCACCAGGAAATAGTACCGAAACTCGAGGGTTTTCACGCGTCGGGCCCCGGGAGGCGCTCGTCCGACACTGTCTCGACACCGTTTCGACACTCCTTTGACACTCTTCCGGCTGCTCGAGCTATTTCTGGGGTGTGGCTCTTCAGTACGATGGGAGCAACACATAAGCCTTCGCCCTGATCGTGCTGACCATACTTCAGTCGATCTGCTGTGCGTGCTCGGCGCTCGTGCTACCGAGGCAGGGCGACATCTGGATGTGAGTTGTCTCGACACGCGGCGTTTTGAAGCGCAACACGTCCCGTGTTCGAGACGTCCGTGTCAATACGTCGCGTGTCGGCTCCACGTATTGGACCACGTTTTGGCGAATGTATCGCGTCGGACCTGCGTCTTCAGCCCACGTCTTGAGCTCTGCATCAATACGATACGTGTTGCGTGTTGCGTATCGGGGCAGCTAAGATCCTCCGTTACCAAGGATGGGTCAGGTGCTTTTTGTTGTTTCGTGTGTGGCAGATGGCTTCGGAGCTTCTCGTTCTCCCACTTCGGGGGCTTCGGTCTCCACGGCTCATTCTCAGACTGTTGAGCTGTGTTCTTCATCGAGGGGAGTGCAATGTCAGCTCGGCTTCCCGCGAATGGAGGTGCTTCCTGGTCCTCTTAGAAGGCCCAGCGCGCTGCAGGCGCGCCTCCTCCCCTGCGGGGCCGCCGGCCCTTCCCGGCGAATTCGCCACCCCGTGGTCTCGTCCACGGGGCAGTCGCTCACAGGGCTGCTGCCGATGGGTGCCGCGGCCCGTTCTTGGAGATGGTCGGCAGCTGGCCGGGAGGGAGGAGGGAGGGAGGAGGGAGGGAGGAGGAGGGAGGGAGGAGGGAGGGAGGGAGGAGGAGGGAGGAGGAGGGAGGAGGGAGGGAGGGAGGAGGGAGGGAGGAGGATGGTGGGTCGCGTGCCAGGCGGAGGGGTGCTTCCCCCTCGAGCCCGCGGTGCGAGAGCCCCGCCGCCCGAAAAGGAGTTCCGCGCGGAGGCGCCCAGTTTTTTCGGGCTTCGACCCGGGCATGCCCTGGAACTCCGATGTCCTTGCGGGCGCAACCGGGGCGGAAGCCACGGAGCAGAGCGTGTTTGTTCTATTGCTTGGGGCATCATTGGTATGAAAGCCCCCGCCCCCCCCCCCTCCCCCCCCCCCCTTTGCGTAACACCCCTCCCCCCCCCAGGGCGCTCTGGGCACTGCCGCCGTGCGCACGGCGGGGGGGGGAGGGGGCCTTACATTATACCCCCCCCCCTGTGCCAGGTCCTCCCCCCCGATAATGGATGCGCGTTGTCGCCGACAATAATCGGGGGTGCACAGACCTCCTACCCTGACACGTCGATTAGTGAATTGTCCGTTTTCGGTTCTCGAGAGGGCGCCGCGGCCGTCCTTTTCCAGGCTTGCGCCCGCCAGGTTGGGGCCCGAGGTCGTTTCCACTAAACCACGTTTTACTAAAGTGAGGTCTGTCCATCCCCGAAGGTTTTTTTTTTTTTTTTTTTTTATATATATAAAAAAAAAAAAAAAAAAAAAAAACGCGCTCGTGTTGGGGCCGCGCTGCCCGGGAGGAGGCCACGCGCCGCGGCTCGACTCCGGCGCGGGCCGCGCGCGCCCCATGGGATGGGGCGGCTGTACCATGCCGGGCGCCGCGCTCCGTGCGCGTGCCGGCTGCGGGCCGGTAGGCTCTCTCTTGGCTCGGGCCGTCGAGGCGGCGGCGCCGAGCGCGACGGGGTTATGGAGTCGGGCACGTCCCTCCTCCCTCCTCCCCTCTCCCTCCCTCCTCCCTCCCTCCTCCCTCCCTCCTCCCTCCTCCCTCCCTCCCTCCCTCCCTCCTCCGCTGCCCCGCGGCGGGCCCACCGCCGCCCCGGGTGCCCTGGCCCCGGGCGCTGCGCCCGCGCCCGCGCGGGCGGCACGGGCGCGGCCGCGGCCACGAGCGGCCAGCAGGTCCGCGAGCGCGCCCTCCCGGTCAGCAGTCCGAGGCCCGAAAACCATCACTTCACTAATTTTGGGCCCCAGGGCCCACTGAGGCCCCAGAGGGGCCCCAGATTGGTGAAGTGATGTTGTTTCCCACGTCAGGGCTCCGAAATTCGTCGCTTCACTAAATCGAACCCAGGACGAAAGTCAGGGGCCGAATTGCTGCTGTGATGCAACATCGGTCTCGTATACAGGAGGACGATCCAAAAAGAGTAACAAGAATAGTCCTGGGACGATTTTGCGATGATGCTTCGACTGTCTTTGAATATTCGTAAGGGCTTCGCCCCATGCCGCCAGCCCCCTGTCTCGGATGATGGGAGGTGCAAAAGCTCAATCATGAGGTCTGGGCGCCGCCGTGAAGCAGTGTCGGGACCTGTTTGTTCCAACCATCCTGTGGTGTTGGGTCCTCGTTTTGAAGAGACGTCGCCCCGCGTTCCTCTCCTCCTCTCCTCCTCCCCCTCCTCCCTCCTCCCTGCGTTTCACCCACCCATTGCACCGTTTCGTGGCCCCATAGGCAATTCCACCTACGGCACCAGGGCCACCGCCCGCATGCGCCCCCCACACCCAATTTGGCACACCCCTCACACGTCTCGTGGCCCCATAGGGAGCTCCACCGAAGGTCCCAGTGCCACCGCCCGCATGCGTCCCGCACACCCATGCCGGCACACCCCTCACACGTTTCGTGGCCCCATAGGGAGCTCCACCGAAGGCCCCAGTGCCACCGCCCGCAGTGCCACCGCCCGCATGCGTCCCCCACACCCAATTTGGCACACCCCTCGCACGTTTCGTGGCCCCATAGGGAGCTCCACCGAAGGCCCCAGTGCCACCGCCCGCATGCGTCCCCCACACCTATTTCAGCATACCCCTCACACGTTTCGTGGCCCCATAGGGAGCTCCACCGAAGGCCCCAGTGGCCGCGTCCGCATGCGACCCCCCGCCCATTTCGGCACACCCTTCACACGTTTCGTGGCCCCATATGGGGGCTCCACCGAAGGCCCCAGTGCCACCGCCCGCATGCGCCCCCCACACCCATTTCGGCACACCCCTCACACGCTTCGTGGCCCCATAGGGAGCTCCACCGAAGGCCCCAGTGCCACCGCCCGCATGCGCCCGCCACGCCCATTTCGGCACACCCCTCACGCGTTTCGTTGCCCCATAGGGAGCTCCACCGACGGCCACAGTGCCACCGCCCGCATGTGTCCCCCACACCCAATTTAGCACACCCCTCACACGTTGCCACCGCCCGCATGCGTCCCCCACACCCGCTTTGTCAAACCACTCATACGTTTCGTGGCCCCATAGGGAGCTCCACCGAAGGCCCCGGTGCCACCGCCCGCATGCGTCACCCACGCACATTTCGGCGCACCCCTCACGCGTGTCGTGGCCCCATAAGGAGCTCCACCGAATTCGCTTGTGGCTGCGCTCGCATGCGCCCACCGCACCCATTTCGGCACAGCTATCACACGTTTCGCGGCCCCATAGGGAGCTCCACTGACGGCCCCAATGGCTGCGTTCGCACGCGCCCACCGCACCTATTTCGGCACACCTCTCACGCGCTTCGTGGCCCCATCGGGGATTCCACCAACGGCCCCAGTGGCTGAGGGGCGCCACCGAATTTCAGACATGTTGAGAATCCCCTGGGTTTTCGGACCCTGACCCTACGGATCTTCGTGAGGGGTGCCGCCGCATTTCAGAGATGTGGCAAATCCCCTGGGTTTTTGGACCCTGACCCTGTCGATCCACATGAGGGGTGCCACCGAATTTTAGAAATGTTGAGAATCCCTTGGGTTTTCGGACCCTGACCCCGCCGATCTGCGTGAGGGGTGCCATAGGATTTTAGACATGTGGCAAATCCCATGTGTTTGTGGACCCTGACCCCGCCGATCTGCGTGAGGGGTGCCACCGAATGTTAGAAATGTAGCAAATCCCATGTGTTTTTGGACCCTGACCCCGCCGACCTGCGAGAGGGGGCCAGCGAATTTCAGAAAATGTGGCAAATCCAATGTGTTTTTGCACCCTGACACCGCCGATCTGCGTGAGGGGTGCTACCGAATGACGTGTAGCAAATCCCATGTGTTTTTGGATCCTGACCCCGCCGATCTGCGTGAGGGGTGCCAGCGAATTTTAGACATGTGTCAGTTCCCATGTTTTTTTGGACCCTGACCCCGCCGATCTGCGTGAGCGGTGCCAGCAAATTTTAGAAATGTGGCAAATCCCATGTGTTTGTGGACCCTGACCCCGCCGATCTGGGCCTTTTGGAGCGACCTGGTGGACCTCTCCAGGATTTTATGGGAACCAGTGGGACTTTGTGTTTCTTTGCTGGTTCCGGCGCCGTTTCTCTCCCAGTTCCGTCGCCGCTTGCTTTCGGGATCTGGTTCCGGCTTCAATGCCATAGTTGTTTTTTACCCCGTTGCCGGGATCGGATTTTGTTTGTTCCACGTTCCAGAGACAACTTTTGAACATTGCAAAGGAAACGGCCCACCCGTTTCCGGGTTCCGGGGTCCACTAAGTTGTGGGATATTTTTGGGTTTTTGTGGGGGGGGCTCTCTCTGGGACCTCTGCATGAGGCTACCCTGAACGCCTTTACGCGGGAAAAGTTGGCATCGAGGGCGTCTCCCTTGGACCCTGGAAGATGTTCCCTGAGGGCCCTTTTGGGACGCTGTTGCGGTGCTCTTGGGGGCCGTTTGAGCTCTCTTCCTGCCCTTGCAGGTCCATCTTGGGGTCTGGTTGGCCGTCTTGTCATCATCTTGGGGATTCAAAGGCCAGTCAAAAGTTTGAACCGTAGGGAACACACATAGTGTGTGTCTTGGATTTCAGATGGGCTTCTTCGCTGTGCCCTTCTCCGCCCAGTCTCAAATGCAGTTTAGGGAGGATTCGTATCGACCCGGGAGCTCGCGGCGGCTCGTGGTTCTCTTCTGGGTAATATTTCAATGTGTTCTCCTGCTCCACCTCCTGTTCATCTCCTTCTCCTCCTCCTGCTTTTGAGGTTCGAGTCAGAGTGACATGATTCTGGGACGCAGCCTGATACTGGAAATGCGTAGTTTTCTTTGAGCTCCAAGCGTTGTTGGGAGGTGAGTCGCGGTATTCCCCATACTCATCTTCCGCATCGTTCAAACTATTCGTTACTGATTGAGCATATTAAGATTGCTGAGCTACAAGCAACAATCGTATCTCCATTCTCTCCTTCATCCACTTCCCTTGACGGGCGCCAGGGTTGATGGGGGAGTTGACGCGGGGGTGATGGATCGGTGGTTCGGAGGGCTGCATCGCGGATCGGTCGCATGTTGCGAGTCGGGTAGGGGGATCTTTGGGACAAGTGGCTGCGACTAAGGAGAAGAAGGAGCAAACCAACTGCAGCACCGGCAATGTCAGGCATGCCTTCTCTGCTCTCGTCAGCGTTAGTGTGGACGACTTCGCCATGATCCTCGTCGAGTGCCGTCTGAAATATTGAACGTTGAAGTGAAGTCGACGGAGCGCCCGGTTTCCTGGAAAAGCGACGCACTACGTCATCGTGGCCTCGTGTATTTGCTGAGGCGCACACAGGTCGGAATGGCGATTGGGCTTCGGCGCATAGCTTTTGTTGTGGCGCACAGCTTTTATCGTGAATGTTTCTTTGGCCCGAGGAGTCAAAAGTCATCATAATGAGGCTTCCTTCCCATGCCACTGGATCTCAAGGATTTCCAAGACTTCATGCTGTTCCGCACGGGATCCTGATACTTGTCGGAACTCTTGGAGCGTGTCTAGAGCCAATCGCAGCGTGGCAACTTTCTCGTCCTACTTGGATGCCCTTCGATCCCCCTGTTCTCTCCACCGCCTTCTCGTCCCCCTCCCCGTGGGAGGGGGGGGCGCCTGTTGCGTGCACCATCCTTCGACTCGCCTGTGATGCCCAATCCGTCCCTCTGCACCTTCGCGCCAATTGTGACGATCGAGCAACAGGCACCCATACCCATAGGGGGGACGGAGGGGGCTGTGGGTGCGTGCTGTCGGATAGGGGTCCCCCGCTCGAGCGGGAGCTTCCCTCAGGGTCCGACAACCCGCACCCATACCCATAGCCAGCCCTCCTCCTTCCGACCCTCCTCTGGGTGTGGGTGTGTGTGTGTTGTTCGCTCGTCAGGTTGGTGTCCCAGAGGGGGCAGCCCTGCTCTGGCCCCGGTGCCGCTCCGGAGGCGAGAGTGGCCGACGGGGGGGCAGTCGCAGCGCTGCCTGCCTCTGCGCTCATCTCCCTGTTTGTCCCTGCGCCCACATCGCAGAGCGGATTTCGGTCGGAAAACCATGGGGTGTGGCCGCGATTATCCTGGAGAATTTCTTTCCGGATATCGAGGTGAATTTCGCGCGTATTTTTGTTGGCCAGGAATGGAGATTTGACAGAAATCCACGCAAAATTCACTTCGTTTTTCACTCGCTGTTTCGGAATTTTGCGTTGACAGAAATCCACGCAGAAATCCGCTGCAGCACTTCTGCAAGGTCGGTGCAGTGATGTTTATCCTCGGGGGGGCAAAGAACTGAATAGGTATACACTGTCGGATGTCCGCGCGGACTTCTTGGATCCGGGCTGGGCCCTCCTGGCGGCGCCGGTCTGGGCAACCGGAGCGGACTTGCGACAGCGTGCCTTTTATGCGGCTTTCATTCTTCCTCTGCTGTATATCCTTGCGGGGCCCCCGTCTGCGGGGGCGTCGCCCGCAGGGGCGAGAAGCGAGAATGGGGGCCACGTGCGAACCCTACCCCTACCCCCCACGACTTCTGAGGGGGAGGGTGGGGTTCACTTCGCTCGGGAGCTCCCAAGCGAAGTGAGCCCCACCCTGCCCCTCAGAAAACTTGGGGGGTAGGGGTAGGGTTCGCATGTGGCCCCCTAGAGAAGATGACCGCGGCTCGCGCGCCGCGTCATGCCACTGCGGCGCGTTCCGTCATCATGCGGGCACAGCACTCTGTGCGCATCTCTTCCTCGCGCCCGAGCGGGTCCGCCTTTCACAGCTCGCGCCGGCAGCAGGAGCGAGCCAGGAGCAGGAGGAGGGGGACGGGGGGGGGGGCGGGCCTTCTCAGAAGGCTCGGAAGCCCTGCGGCCTTCTGAGAAGTTCTCTGAGCTTTCCCCGAAGACAGAGGAAATGTCTCAAAAGGCGCGAGGGTTTTTGAGAAGCCCCGCCGCCTTCTGAGATTGGCTGCGCCTTCTCGCTCCCCCCTGGGCGCCCAGCCGAGTAGACAGGCAAAAGAGAGGGGAGAGTGGGACGTAAATGCGGTGCAATGGCTCTTGGGGCGTCTTGAGGCCTCAAGTGGCTCTCTGGGAGCGCCTTGGGGGGCCATCTGGGGAGGTCTTGGGGGCCGCTTGGAACGTCTTGGGGCGCTCTGCCGCCCTCTTGGGCTGCCTTGGTGGACTCTTGGGCCATCTTGGCTTCCTCTGGAGGCAGTCCGCCAGCACCGGCGACTAACCGCACGCAGCTCCGCCGCAGTCCCTCGGTCAAAACTGAGTGTTCAAAGGGGGCTCCACAGTGGACCACCGGGCGAGCACCAACGCACGTGGCGGGACATCTCGGCAAAATTGTTACAAACATGCGACGAAGCCGTTGGACTAATTTTTTGGCAGCCAGGGCATCTTGACAGAATTTCTGACGACTCGAGCACGCGGGATGCGCTATTGAGTGCACTGGGCAGCCCTTTGGGGGGTCTTGGGCAGCTGGGAAGTCAGGCAACGATACGGGGGGATAGGCAGAAGGGGGGATGCATCGACCCCCAATTGCCCATTCATCGCCGATAGGGGCCTGATAGCCTCAGCTTGCCCAGGAAGGTGCGTATTCACGATCGGAGGCCTATCGCCGATCTATCGGCGGTGAATCGCCGATTCCAGGTCGATGCATCCCCACCAATGCCAGTCCCCCCCTATCGTTGCCCCTCAGGAAGATCGTTCCGATCCTGACGCAGGAACCGTCTTGACAGAGCGTGCAGCAGGACGTCCTCGTTACTCATGCGGCGCGTGCTTCTCTGTTGTTCATTCGCGACGAGTCGAAGAGCGTTCCTGGTCCCTTTCTTCTGGATGCCCTGCCCCGCCGCCCTCCCTGTCCTTCTCTTCCCGCCCCCGCTCCTCCATTCCATCCAGTGCTTTCTCCCGTCCCCCTCCCCCCCCTCCTCTCCCTCGTGCTCACCGGGACCCCTGTTCCTGTCCCTCCTCGTCACCTCCCTTCATCCCGCCTCCCCCTTCCCGATCCCCCTTTTGCACATCATCGCCCGCAGTCTCCAGTTCCTCGTCGGCCACGCGCAGAGGGGGGTTGGGGAGGGGGGAAGGCTTCTCAGAAGGAAGCTGCTTCTTAGAAGGCGCGGGCCTGATCTCTGTACATGTAAGGCCCGCGCCTTCCGAGAAGCAGCCTCCTAGGAAGCCTTCCCCCCTCCCCCTGACCCCCCCCTGCGCGCCGCCGATCTCTTCCGGCCGATCTGACGCAGCACGCCCAGGGCGCTGAGACCGCCGATGGTCTCGAGGTGAGTGGCCTTCTCGCTGGACGCGGGCACTTCCCGCCGGAGGGGCACCGGCGTGCGGAGCCCCCTCCTCTCCTCTGCTTCACGGGGTGCCAATGAGGGCGTCACCACCGGGGGTGTTCACCACCAGCAAGGGGAGGACATGATGCACAGGACAAGGGGGTCACCACCAACAGGGGGGTCAACACCAACAGGGGGGTCCCAGCTCAAGATGTGCCAGGACCCTGGGTCTCTGTATCCAGGATCCCCCGCCCCCTCCCGAAACGCCGATTAAAGGGACCAGCCCCACGGGAGAGCCTGAGGCTACAGTTCATCCTGCCCACGGCCTTGTTGTACCACCAATCCGTTCCCCCATAAAACTTGCGCATGCCGGTGACCCCCTGAGTGGTGCCTTCCCTCTTACAGCCAGTGCGCTGAAATAAGCACCACCTTGGGCTTTGGAGGGTCTCTGGTTTCCGGACCGTTCTGTCGATTTAGGTCGTGGAGATTATTCATGACTGATGCTCGCTTTGACCGGGAAAGCCCTTTCGTTCCATATTTAGCGTTCCTGATGGTAGCACGATGACTGCAGCGGCACCCCAGCTTGTATGCTTCCAGGCTCTGGTCCGTACGCATCCTTCGTCCAGACTCGAGTGAGAGCCTGTCCGAGGGGAGCGCGGCGGCAGGCTTTCATTCTACGTGTGCCCAGGGCGCCCTCATCCTTTTGTGGCGCAACTGTAAAGCAGACATCTGCGCAATACACTGAGGTCCTCACGTTGTCGCTAGAACATCGGCGAGAGCGTTTTTTTGTGTGTTGAAAAGCGATGGAAGCCGATCCCGTCTTCAGCAGCGAAAGCAGTGGAGTGACCGCCAGCCTCGCGTGCAAAGGCGTGCGGGACTGTGACAAGTCATTATCACCTGTTGTTGTTCTTTGGTCGGACAGCTTGTCCTAAGTAGGACATTTTGCTGTATATGAGTTCATGCCAGCGTTATCAGGGCAGCGGCGTTCTCGACACCTGGGGCGCGCAACGTCTCATCAGCACATCGCACGACTAGACACGCACTACCTTAACACGTGATTAACTTGCGCGTTCGGCTGGTCCACGGGGACCCTTGGTCTTCTCAGGAATGTCTAGTGCAGAAAAACATGTCATAGTCGCAAGTATCGTTTGCCACATCGTCGCCACTATTCGTTTCGTGTCCCGCGACATCCGCCTTTTCATCGCAACGACGCGGCTGAGATGCATTGCACATTGTCGCACATCAGCCGGCGCAGCAACCCCTCAGCTGGCTCTGCAATCTCTGAGGGCGGTTCGGGGCTACATCTGGTTGCAGGCAACGGAACATCTTCGAGGGCAGAGGGATGTTGTTCGGTTCTGGGTAGTTCGAGGGCAGAGACATGTGTTGCTAATTCCGCTCGAGGGCATCAGCGGTTCGAGTGGTTGGCCCATGACACGCCATCACTCATTTACAATTTGCGATTCGGTTTCCACCAGTTTCTCTCAGATGAGCATTTGAGTGGTGCCATGGGGGAGAGAATCTGGGATACCACATCACCAGGCTGGTGGCTTCACAGGGTCGGCGGATTCCATCTAACCTTAATCAATACGATCGGGGCTCTAACGACTTGCATTCTTCTTTGCTCAGCATTTTGTGGGCACCTATAACTTGCCAGGGCGATTACATAGTGTGCCTTTGCCGAGCTCGGCAAGCGAGTGCCCCTGCCGCTCCTTCTCCTCAGGCAGTACTTGCACTCACAGGCTCTTATGTCTCTTCTGCGGAGCTGGGTCCGTCTGCCAGTCTGGCGGCTATGTTGCCGCCGCCGCCGCCCCGTCGCCGCCCCGCCGCCGCCCGTCGTCTGGGCCTCGCTGCCGGTCTGGCGGCCATGCTGCCGCCTCGTCGCCGCCCCGTCGCCGCCTCGTCGTCGCCGGCCGGGGGCCTGCGCCCGTCTGCCGGCTCTGGCGGCTGTGTTGCCGCCGTCGCCGTCGCCGCCCACATACAGTGCCGTTGTTTTTATACATGCTCCGCGTGCGGATCATGTATTAAACATGCAGGGATTTTGTATTAAAACCAGCGATGAGTTCATGCATCAAATTATTCATGAATTAATCACGCATTCAACTCTTATGTTTTAGAAAATCCTATGTAGTAGAAATTGCCCTGTATATTGCACACCGCATAGGTTGCACGAAATGTTATGCGCACCGCACGCACTGCACCACATGTCTTGCGCACCGCATGGGTTCTTCCTTCAAAAGAAGTGTTGGCGGATCCCGCCGCATGTTTTCCGTTCACTTTTCCGTGTTGCAATTCGCGCATGATTTTGCCCCATCGTCAATCCTAAGCATGAGTCCGTTTCATCCCAGCCGAGCTGGTAGCACCCCCCCATTCATCTTCCGGAAAAAATGCTATGCGCGCGCACTCGTCTATCACAAGTCATACGGTTCCAAGAGCCCCGTGCAAAACAAACGAGACGAAGTGCGCACGCGCGTGCCGTTGCGCGCGCATCCTGGAATCTTTCAAAAACGTCAGGTTTCGCAAGGAGTTCCAAATCGAGTGCCCCGAAACATATATGAACATCATATGGTATTGCAACAAGGATGCTTTGAATAGAATTAGCGCTCGCGCTCTTGCGAATTATTAAGAGACGCCACCTGTTGTTCCCAACCATCCTGTGGTGTTGGGTCCTCGTTTTGGAAGAGACGGTCCCCGCGTTCCCGCCTCCCTCCCTTCCTCCTCCCTTCCTCCCTCCTCCATCATCATCGTCACCCCCCTCAAATTGGCACACCCCTGACACGTTTTGAAGCCCTATAGGAGCTCCGCTGAAGGCCCCAGTGTTGCCTTTGGCGTGCGTCCCCGCCACCCATGTCGGCACGCCCCTCACACGCTTCGTGGCCCCATAGGAACTCCGCCGAAGGTCCCAGTGGTGTCGTTCGCACGCGTCCCCGCCACCCATGTCGGCGCACCCCTCGCACGTTTCGTGGCCCACACCGCTCGCACGCTTCATGGCCTCATAGGAACTCCGCCGGAGGTTCAAGTGTCGCAGCTCGCATGCGCCCCCGCCACCCATTTCGGCACCCCTCACACGTTTGATGGCCTCATATGGGGTCCGCCGAAGGCCCCAGTTGCACAGTTCGCATGCGCCCCCTCTTCAAATTTCGGCACGCCCCTCCCACGCTTCGTGGCCCCATAGGAGCTCCGCCGAAGGTCCCAGTGGCACATTTTGCATGTGTCCCCGCCGCACATGTCGGCACACCCCTCGCACGTTTCGTGGCCCTATAGGAGCTCCACCGAAGGCCCCAGTGACATAGTTCACATGAATCCCCGCTTCCCATTTCGGTGCACCCCTCGCACGCTTCGTGGCCCCATAGGGAGGTCCACCGAAGGCCCCAGGGGGTGTGGCCACATGCGTCCCCGTCACCCAATGTCGGCGCACCCTTCACACGGTTCGTGGCCCCATTGGGAGTTCCACCGAAGGCCGCAGGGGGTGCGTCCACATGCGTCCCAGGAACTCATGGCGGCACACCCCTCACAAGGTTCGTGGCCCGATAGGGAGCACGACCGAAGGCCCCAGGGGATGCGTCCACATGTGTCCCAGGCACTCGTGTCGGCACACCTCACACGGTTCGTCTCATCTCCCTCGCGGTACTCGCAGCTGCATATGGTTGGGTCCTTCGCCAGGTTAAGTTCGCCTTTCAGAACGTGCTACCAGATGTTCTTGTGTTGCACGCGTGTCGAAATCGTTCGAACGTCCTCGTGCGCGTGTTGTTGCAAGAGTCCCTTGCAAAACACAGGACGAAGTGCACACGCGCGAGTCGTCGCACGCGCATGCCAAATCCGTCAATAACCTCAGGTTTCGGAAGGATTTCAAAGTCGAGTGCTCCAGACATATATAAACATGGTTTTGCAACACCAGTTTTCAATTTTGCGTTCGTGCGCTTGCGAATCTTTGAGAAAACCATAAGTTCTTCCACTATTTCATTCGATTTGGCCAAGCGGGCCTTTCGCGCCGCATGTCGACATCACTCGAACGCCGTTGCGCGCGTGCTGGGGGGCACGGTCCGTGTTACATGCGGGCCACTCTCGCGCGCCGGCCGCGCGCGCATGTCGAACTCCTTCCAAAACATTTATCACCGACTCGAGGACGCCGTCATCGCCGTCGGCGTGTTCAGCATCGGCGCCGTCGCTGGCCGTCCCGTCGCCGTTACCATTATCGTCACGAGCGTCGCTACTTTCATCATCGTATCTACCGTCGCCGACGTTGCCATGATACCGCGCCCGCGCAGGTGGCCGCCTCGCACTGAAGTGCCCGCTGGGAAGTGCCAAGAGGTAATTGGCACCGCGGCCGGGTTTGGTCGCGCCAAACTACTTGGCCGCTGCGCGCGCGAGCCAATACCAAGCACTAATTGCAATCGCCGCCGCATGTGTTTTGCAAAACACGTTGCGGGTGGGTGGGTGGGATGATTGCGTGAGCAGTGGATCTGACAACTGCGAGCTCCACGATTGAATTGCCCCACGTGGATTGCACTACAAATTGAACCACATATCTTAAACACCGTGGATTGCACCACATCGGTGGCACATTTTAGACTGCGCCACATAAGTGGCACACCGTGTGTGTGTATATATATATATATATAAAAACGATGCGGGTGGGTGGGTGGGTGGGATGACTGCGTGAGCACGCAAATTGAACCGCATATCTTTAACATCGTGGATTGCACCACATCGGTGGCACATCTTAGACTGCACCACATAAGTGGCACACCGTGTATGTATATATGAATGTTTACATATATATATAGAGAGAGAGGTATTTACGTATATTGCTCCGCAAATCTTGCTAACTGTATATTGTATCGCGTAGGTTGCACCGAAAAGGCGCGTTTTGTGGTCGCCTTGAGGAGGGGGGGGTTTGGAACCGAACACCCCGCCCCCCCTGAATGGAGGGGGGAGGGGTTCGAACCCTCCCCCCCCTCTTCCGTGACGGAGGGGGGGGGGGTTCGACCCCCCCCCCCTGCTTCCCCT